ATTAAGTAAAAGTCTTATTGAAAAGATATAACTTTCTTCAAAATGTTAACTGCAAAAACTTTAGTTTCTATTTAGTAAATATGTACATATGTATGTATGTATATATGTGCTTCCTACCAGAGACTGTGAATAGAAGTTATTTTTGTGTGCCACTGGGTATAAAATATAAAATATATATGTATATCATAACGTTCAAGAAAGAAATTACACACACAAGGCAATTTTACAAGTAATTTTAAGCAATAAATACAACCGACTTCAACACTCATAAACATATTTAGAAGTATCGTTAATTTCTTCATGATCCAATGATCGGAACTAAACGAAATATCAGTTCGAGGCCACCCCTGAAGTACCACATTTCCGATAAAAAAACAGAATTATCGAAACAACATACATAAAATAACTATGACGATGAGTAGATAACCGTCATCATGTTTTTTAAGTCGGTAGAAAAAAACTGAAGTTTTTTGTAATTGTAATGGTCTATGGAAATTAGGCCAGATTTTGATATCAAAAAGATATAAACTTTTTTTTAATGCGCCACTAAACTCATTGAAAAAATAGAATTGAAAAACCAATGAACATTAAGATTTCAATGAAATTTTTATTTCATATAAAAGTTTGAGGGCATCGCACTAACATTGACGGTGACGGTAGCTACTTCGTCGTTCTCAAAGACTTGTAAAATGTCTTCAGCGGCCAGCGGAGCCCAGACTTACGAATTACGAGACGTTCTAAGCGTTATAACGGCCTAAAGTCGTAGCGTTCGCTTTATTTTCCAAACCACGAAATTATTGATCCGTTAGAGGAGGAGTACTTACTGGCTTTTAACATTGTTGACTATTAACCCTTAACTGCTTACCAAAAATATTTGTAACAAGACCAGTGTAAGATTATACAAATTAGTAAAGAAAGGTTTGGGCTTTAATTAAAAGTCTATTGAGGGACACATTCTTTTAAAAGGCATTTTTAGGTTTACAAAAGGAAATACTTTAAAAACGACATCCAAAATAGGTTATCATTCATAAAACAATAAACTTAGAAAAAGATCTATGAAAATTCTCAATACAACTATAAATTAAATTAAATTGCATAAGTATCTCCCACCCGTGGTGGAAGTTTTGTACTCACCAGAGAGAAAGGCGTGTTTTTTTGACCTTGACAAGCCATTGCGCGGAACTAAGGACGCTTAAAAAAGGTACATAACCTAACAAATCATTACGAATTACATTTGCTAATTTCACTATACTTCACTGCACTTCCTCCCCTATAAACATTCGGACTCAGTTTAGAGTCAAAAAAGTCTCAGAATTCTGAGTTGTAACCCGATCAAAAAAGAGCGTATTTCTCTTCTTGGAAAAGCACGCCGATTTGAGTCCAAGTTAGGAGTCACATTATAGTCTGACATAAGACATTGTCTGAGTCTTAAAAACAAAAATTCTTTATAATTCTGATTATTAATAAACTTTTATTGAGTCAGTCTGTTTGTTTGGTCTCAGAATCATATTTATGACGAAAGAAAGACTCATTTTAAAGTCTTAAACTCTGAACACCCAGAAAATTATTTGAAATATTTGATATCGAGTAAAAAAAATCACATTTTAAGAAAAAAGCTTAGTTTTTATTCAAAATGCCCTCTGTCATTGCAGTAACGATTGCCAACAGCGACACTACAGTATTTGTTTTGATTGCAAGCAAGCCATGAGCCATGAGTTTCATTGCAAGTGAATTTGCTTCATTACGGCATTTACTGAAGTAGTGTACAGTAAACGTAAAACCATTTGCACAGCCCTCTATTACATGGAATCTGTTACGTATGGCAGAGAAGGTAATAAATATTTTGTTATAAAACTAAATCAAATGGTCCCTGGTATCTCAGATAGATGCGACATTTTCTTCGTTATTTCGAGGACTTCCTGAGATTTACTCGGCATTCCGCGGGTTTTTTGGACCAAAAGTGACATTTCTAGATTTTTCGTAACTTGCCGTATTTAATTCGGCATTTTCACGTTCAATTAGCAAGGATTAAAAGTAACGGTTTGCTGATACGATAAAAAAAATAAAAAATAAAAAATATTAATAAACATTTTAAAAACCTCTGATTTTTGAAACAAAGTGGATACTCAGTAGATACGGTCTCTGGCTTAAGCTATTGATGTGCATATGTACTGTGCTTAAAAAAATACTTGCAAAACTACTGATGTGAAAAACACATCCAAAAAAATGGGCTGGTTACGGCGTTTGCGAATTAAGGAGATGAAGTGCAGATAGTTTGACCGAAAACTTTTTTTAATGAAATTGTTATTCTTTTGACTTTACAAAAAAATAGAACTTTCGAAGTTTTTTTAAATTTATCACATATTGATAACCATTACAGCAATTATTACAAATATCAGAACTAATCGAAAATTTCGTCGTGGTCTGTAACAACAACAGTAAGTACTTAAGGGATCTGTAAAATCTGCATACATACATACATATGTACATACCTATGTAGGCATGTTTATACAAAGTAATTCTTAATAAAAATTATCAGCTTAAATGTGAAATTGCATCACTCCAAATTCCTCAAAAAGAAAAAACTGATGAATTATAATAGCAACTTGATAAAAAAAAAATTGTTTAAGTTTGCAAACTTTTAATTTTTCCTAAAAAAGGAAAAAAACTGATGAATTATAATCGCAACTTGATAAAAAAAATTGTTTAAGTTTGCAAACTTTTTATTTTCTAAATAAATAAATAAACATACTTTAAACAACAAACTACGTAATTTATTAACCCGAATACCTTGAGACAGTATACTACAATTTTCGCCAGAAACCGAACGCTGTCGAGTTGCGATTGTACATATGTACATATAACACCATCCTGTACAAACAATTTTTCGATGCCGCTAATATTTTGATTACACCTATTCTATGTATTTAGATTTATAGCAAAAAAGAAACAAAAAATTATGGTCCAGCTACAAAAGAAAAATTGTGCAAAAACTTTGTGTTTGGCATTTGTTACTGTTCAGTTCTATCTCCTTCTATCTCTCTCTCTCTCTCTCTCTCTATCTATCTATCTATCTATCTATCTGTATTTGTCTCTTTCTCCCCGTCTTTAAGTTTATTATGCGTTACTTTAACATCATTCGAGTATTCAGGATCAGAAGACTATTTAAGGTCAACATATTTTGATAATCAAGTGAAATTCGCATTTGTAATGATTACACACCAACGATTGCCAGCATACTTCGCATTTCAAATAATTAGCTGAATAATGTTAAGAAAAGCTAGAAGAAAAAAAAATAGAAACTAAATACGTAATTGTAATTAGATACATACCTACATACATGTATACATTGTGTATATAAATGGATAAGCAGACTTTTCACAATATTCGGACCATTGCATAAACTTGTTTTACATTTAATTTAATTATTTGTATGAAATGGTAATGACTGGAGAAATACTCTATTTAATTATATATACTGCATACATATATAACTACTTAAAGCAACTTATGTTTTTTTGGCATAAAAGTTGTATTTCCCCACAAAAAGTCCTCGAAAACACCTTTGACCATCGACTAGCAGACGAATTTTAGTAGTTCTAAATCAACCTTTTATATTACTCATGTCAAATGTGTTTTTTTGTTTTCCTATTAAAAAGTTATTCATACAAATGTCCTTTTTTTTGGAGAATCTCAGCTAAATTCTCTCAATTGATTGGCAATCAAAATTTACTTTCATGTGAAGTGCGCGCATAAGATGCTAAATTCATTTTTGTATTATTTTTTACTGAACTTGAACCCATTTTTTTTTTTTTATATAAACAAAAAGAACTAAACTAAAATATTAAAAAGCAACATATTTCTCAGCTTTTACTGTAATTAAAAAATATCCAGTTTTTTGCATAAAAGCCTAAGTGTGATTCCTTGTTTATAGTACGTACTAAATATATACTATGTTAAACTACATACATAAATAATATACTCGTGCATATTCAATACACACATACCAGCATACATACTATGTACCTACTCGTAAACTTACAATAATATAAAACTTATGATGGGGTCAACTGATCGGAGTTTGTCTCATTGGTGTTTTATTACATACATATGTATGTTCTTATACGATATAAACTTATCAAATATATATATATATATATATATATATATATATATATATATAGCTTTTTCTTTGAATACTATGGTTTCACTTGGTGTCTCTAGTTTTTTTTTAAGAAAATCCACATAATCGCCATAACACAAAACTTAATCTTATTATGATCTGGATGTTAAAACAAGTTTACAAAAAAAAATAGTATATATTTGTATGTATATATATGTATTATTTATATAAAGTTTTATCAGGCATACAAATCGACACAAATTTTTGATTAGATTTATTATTTGTTTGCTGTTAGGTGTTTAATAACTGAAGTTTTGTAGTAAATACGATTTAAAAAAAAAACGGAAATTTAGATGTAACCAAAAATAAGAATAAAGCAAATGAATTTTGGCATTGGTTTTTCACTATATAACAACACTAAATAAAAAATATAAAAAATTTATATAAATTATTTTAATCAAATATTGTCGGTCCAAATATCAATTATTCCAATTGAAAAGCGTGAAAATTCACTATTTTGCATAACAACGCGCGCGCCCGCTTAATGCTTGTGATGTGAAATTTTGCAATTTTCGGCGCATTTTTCTTGTCCTTCATAAATTGAACGAACAAGCGACTTGGGAGAGTAACTTAAAAAATTACGCCGGTATTTATTGCTACTACCATCACTCTCTCTCTCTCTCTCTCTCTCTCTCTCGTACATATTAATTATGTATATGTTATGATATGGGTTATTTGTTGTATTTTTTAATGAATTTCCACGAATTATCCACTAAATTCTTTGAATTTACTTAGCAACTTTTAATTTTTACTAACTTTTGGCTTTTTTTGTTATTTGTTCGAATGTTTCTTATTGTTGTTGCGCCGCACACCTTAGCTGGCCTTATTGAAGTGATTATCTACAGTTCACCAGATGATAAGAAGAAAAATCGTGGATTCTGCTTTCTCGAATATGAGTCACACAAAGCTGCATCGCTGGCAAAACGAAGACTTGGTACTGGTAGAATTAAGGTAAGTGAAGATTGTAGATGTATGTATGTATGTACAGTGGCACACATTCCTATAGACGCACTCTTAATTTTAAGATTGCTACCTTTCTTTTTGAGCATTGGTAAGTTATTGATAAACGACTTAAAATTTGTTGTGAGTAAGAGTGCGTTTATAGGAATGTGTGCCACTGTATGTACATTCGAACTTGTGGTTTTTGTAGATAGTTTTTTTTTTTACCGGAAGTAACAAAAATAGTTACATACAAAAAACATGTATATTATTAAACATCATTTACCTCGTCAAAACCGGGGCATGGACAGAGAGAGAACAGGTGCACAAAAGAGAACAATTCTTTAAAATATTTTCAAAATTTAATAACGGCCTGTTTAACCCGCTTCCGGTCGAAATTCGAAGTCGGTAATCACCAAAAGATGGAGAGTCTCCGACTTGGTGGTTCGTGTTTTTTTTTTCCTTTTCTAATGAAAACATTTTCGTCAATTTTAGACGTCCAGCAGTGGAATTCTGTCAATCGCCACGTTAAATTTCCATCGCCAAAATTATCTAAATGAAAATCAATGGGGCCTAAAAGCACGCAATACAAAAGTAACATATGCAATGTGAAATCAACCAAAGCTGGTAGTATTAGGAGCATGTAACTAGGCGATGCATGTAGTTAGATGCGCCTGCTATTCCTTTGGAGATATTTAGCGATCAAAAGTAGATACAGCGAATGCTGGAATCCGGCTGCAGGACGAGTTGAAGCTCGAAGACCAGGCAGTTATTCTGACTGTCCGACATAATATAGATGTTTTTAGAAGCTGTGCTTTCCCAATGAGGCATTCCCAATTACGCTAGAACGTTCATGTAATCCGTCATATTTCCGGTTTTTAATTGGCACACTTCAAGTCCAATATGCAACGATGAGCAGGGAGAGCTTTTATCCTATGACCGGCTAAATCAGTTGCAACCAAGACATACCACAAGGGGTAAGCTTTTTCAAAGCTTCCTTTACGTTTTATTTGGACGTGCACATAATAAAAGCTCCATCAAACCATCACTGGCCCAAATATGTGTCATAGAGAGCTTTTACTCTGTGATCTTCTATGTCAGAGCTGAGCATTTCACAAGCACGGATGCCAAGTTTTGTTAAAGCTTTCTGTGCATTTTTAGGGGCAACAAAACTAGAGTAAAAAAGGTCTCTCTGGTCATCGGAGTAAAAGCCCCGCCCAAGTAAATTTAGGTGCCTAAAGCGAACATATTAAGTTGATTCACGCAATTCCCTCGTCCGCTGTTAAATTTGTTTTGGAGGGAAACTGGTTTCGACCTTGTGACTTCTTTAGTGGCCTGCCAAAAAATCATTAAATTGAAAAGTGACCAATCGGAATGGGCCTATATAAACTCCTTTACTTTTACCCTTACCTCTATCATATTTAGTGCATTCTGCTGAATGCTGGTACGTTCGATCAGCAAGCCCGCGAATGACTGTTTTTCGTCCATTGCCAGTTGAACCCTCTTGCATACAAATCTATGAAAAACATTAAATATCTGCACATTTTCCCCCCATTTTAGCTATGATTTACCAACTAACTTAATAACGAAATCAATTGGAATTTTCCATTTAGGTTTGGGGATGTGATATCATTGTCGACTGGGCCGATCCGCAAGAGGAACCAGACGAGCAAACAATGTCAAAGGTTAAAGTCTTGTACGTGAGAAATTTGACACAGGATGTTAGTGAGGAGAAATTAAAGGTAATTGATACTTGTTTTGAATTTAAAAATGATTTATTTTTATTATTTGAATCTCACATATCACAAAACCAACCAATCAACCAACCAACCTTTTGAAATTCAGGAGCAATTCGAGCAATTTGGCAAAGTTGAACGCGTCAAGAAAATCAAAGACTATGCCTTCGTACATTTCGAGGATCGTGATAGCGCCGTGATTGCAATGCGCGGTCTCAATGGCAAAGAGATCGGTGCTTCCAATATTGAGGTAAGCTACTAATATTTCTATGTCACTTTCCTTTTTGTATTGATACAAAAAAAAAATAAAATAAGTAAGAAAATCTAAGTTCGGTCGGGGCGGAAAATTAAATACCCGAAATCTACGTCTATATAGTGAGATAAATTTATATAGTCATATGTGGGCGGTATCACGCCCATTTTCTCCAAATATTTTTTTTCCTTTTTAAGGGATTTTTGTTAGTATCATTTTTCAATTTCAAATTATCGAAGTTTAAAGCATATATGAGATGTACCGTTATATGCAAAGTGCCCGTAATTTTAGTCCGATTTCAATAATTTTCAACGCTTTTCTTTTATGTGGCAAGCACAATAACTGTACCGAGTTCGGTACAAATTGGTAGAACGGTTACCGATAAACATTTTCCAAAATTTTATCGTAAACGTATTTTTAGGTAAAAAAATATTCTAACCATCAATTTTTAATAAATTAGCTTTAATCTTTACAGATTTATCGAAGATTTCGTATTTCTCTAAATTACCGTTATATGGGATGTGGGCGTGGGTATGGTCCAATTTTAAAAAATTGTTGGCCATTTTATATATTGTACTAAGGCCAACCACTGTGCCAAGTTTACGAGAAATTGGTGGCAAGGGGGCGTGGCTACGCCCATTTTCTAAAAATTTATAATATTTTCTAATTTTTCCTCTAAAACGCATAGTAAAAATATTAATTTTGAGCCAATAGTCTTCAGTAGTTACTAAAATATCGCAGTTTTCGTATTTCTGAAAACTACCATTATATGTGAGGGGTAGGCGTGGTTATTGTCCGATTTTGTCCATACCATTCAATACCATTCGTCCTACGTCCGAAAGAAGTATACGTACTAAGTGTCGTTAAGATATCTCAATTTTGACTCGAGTTATCGTGTGCACAGACGAACGGACGGACGGACAGTCACCGCTTAATCGATTCCCCTTTTCATTCTGATCATTTATGTATACATTTGTCTATATCTATCTTTTACCCTTGTGCATAAGTGCGCTCGGGTATAAAAATCAATAACAACCATAACTTTTCACTAGAATGCTTCGCGTTTGCAGGTGTCGCTTGCCAAGCCACCATCGGATAAGAAGAAGAAGGAGGAAATCCTACGCGCTCGCGAACGTCGCATGATGCAAATGATGCAAGGACGTCCCGGTCTGGTCGGGTAAGTGTAGCTAAATGGCAAAATGCACGCTATATACATAATACATACTACATATAATCGAAATTATTTTACATCCATGCATATGTCATTTATACACTAATTTTGTTATCACCTTATTGGCGTGTCAAAATTCAAAAATTTCAAATCTCCAAAAATTTACTAACCCTTTGTGAATTTTCCCTTTGCATATCGGCTTTATGCTGCCCGATTGCTAGCGGCAGCTTCGGACAAAACAAAAAAAAAAAAACAAAAAAATAAACCCAAATTCACTGCCACTACTTGTGGTGGCAGCAGTGCATCATCCTTAACCGTTTGTACTCGTGCATATTTGTTTTTAAATGCAATTTGCAATTTTTTTAATTAATTTTATATTATCTCTCTCTCTCTCTCTCTCTCTCTTTCTCTTTTTCACTCCGCACTCGATTATCCAATGAAACTCACTGAATTGAATTTTTGCGCGCGTTCACATATGCATATATGTATGTGAAAAATAACCACACGAACAACAACAACAACAACAAATATAACAAAATACCCCAAAATGTTAAACAAATAATAAACAAACAAAATAACCAAAAACCAACTACAAAATACACATTAACCGCAAACAAACAACTGTTATTGCTAATGTATATACATATACATATATGTATTGTTGCACTGGTCTGCAACCCGCGGTCCGTTGTACCCATGTGTTTGTGTGTGTGTGCCCATGTAAATTTTATTACTCATACTAGCTATGAACAATTATCTCCATACAGAAACTTGTCGCCTACACACCCCAACATGATGTCCTTAGCTACGCCAATGCGCCTGCCAGGTGGTCCACGAATACCGCTGCGCGCACCAATTCCGCGCGATTACGGTAAGTGAAAAAGCGTTTTTTTTTACAGTTAAACAGTTAATGCCACTTAATTTAGTGTAAATGCCTACTAAAATAATAAAATGTACTGTTTGGATGATTAATATTTTATATGTACATACTTATATGTATGTATGTACATACATACATACATACATACATAGTACATAAATATTTGTTATGTACATTTTAAATTTAGAACTTATATTTATTAGTTACTTTTTGAGAAAAATAAATTAATTAATTAAATAGACAGCAAACTTTTTAAACGAATAAATCACAAAAATCAATTGCTTAAGAATACATGAAAAAGAAAATTTTCATACGCTGATGAATGGCGAAAAACTAGATTTGCAGTTGACATACACAGCTACTTTGTACATACATACATATGTTTGTAGATATGTATGTATGTACATAGGTAGCTGCCCTTTTACCGATTGGAAAAGTTTTGAAGCAATCGTAAAAAGCAGGCGTAAAGCAGCAGAAGTAATTGTAGCAATATCAGCCATTACGTACAAATCTATATATTTACTCGTATTTCGCTAGGCAAACTAAAAAGTATATGTCGTTTACATGCATACATAGATGCATACATACATACATGTGTACATATACATATAAAGCAAATCATATCCTTGGACAGACCTATTTACATATCCGCAGATCTTTCATCTTTAGTTTTAGCAGTTTTTGCTGATGGACCAGCCGTCTCCCACTTCTAATTTTTTGTTTATTTCGCGGTTTTGATCAAACTCGTGTTACTAAAAATTCCTAGGCTACATTTACCAAAATGCCAAATACTTTCAAATTTGCATTAAAATACATGACAGTTGGTATATACTCTGCCGGCAAAAAGTATTGGCACAGTGGCTTTTCTACAATATATGCAACAATTTTTATGAACCATATTTTTATAAAAAAAAAATTGCGGAAAAATATTAGAATAGAAATTGGTGCATAAATTGCGCAAAATTCGCTGTGCCAATACTTTTTTCCGGCAGTGTACATATTTTCGAAATTTCAATTCAAGAAGTCAGACGGATAGAGTTTGTCTATATGAGAACACAGGCCAACAAAATTTCAAAAAATATTTGCAGCATATGAATATGGACGCTGATGCTCATAGGTGTTTTTCCGTAGAATCAGTATCTGAAATTAGAAAAATTAGATTGACTCCAGTTTTTGAAACATTTTCACTTTAAAGTGCCAAAATACTCATTTTTGGTATATTTGAAACATCTATGTATATTGGATTAACGGGGTTTGATGAAATCTTTTAAGTAAAAAGTTAAAAAAGCTTAACATTGCTCTTTTAGCACAGAAGGTAATAGCTTGACTATTGCAAACGTAAGTTACACAAACAACTTTGAAAAAATATATACAGCGAGTATCTATAACATGGCATTTTCTCAGTTATTTTAAAATTTGAAAGAAATATGCGGAAATCTTCGACTTTTTGCTTACCTATGCAGGTTTTAAGCTTTCTTTACATATTATTAAAAATATTCCATCATGTATTCCTTTTATGTTATAAACGTTTCAAAAAATGCTAATAATTAGTTTTTTGACACCTTTAATTCAAATTGCGTACAAAAATCTATAGGATTCAGCTCTTATTGACTCTGCCGCAAAATTTTGTTGGCCAGTGTAATTAAATATAACAGTGTTATGCTTGTCAATTAAATTTTTATTCGTGTTAGCTAAGGAATATAAATCTTAAATGATTTACAGTGACTGAAACAAGTGTTGACGGGTTTGTTTCTTTTTAATATTCCCAATGTTTATAAAGTACCTATTAAAATATTGCCCAAGCTTTGACCAAACCACCTAAATCAAAGTTTCAAACTTTATGCAAATCCGTCAGTAAATTTTTTAAAACCAACGCATAACCATTTCACATAAAAATTAAAAAATACCGAAATTTTGTTGAATTTTCTTAATTTTTAAATAGTTAAAGTTAAAGCTTGGACAATATTTTTGATAGAATAATAAAAAAAAAATCACTTGAAAAGCATTTTACAAAAAAATTAACACGGTAGCACTTGTTCGGGTCACTGTAATTTTTTTTCCAAAGAAGCCAATGACATCGTTGTTTTTTCAGTCGGTATTTTTTTCAGACAACAGACATACAATAGAAACTAAAATTTTAAAATCTGTGAACAAGGTCCAAAATTATGCGGAAGCATACACAAAAACACAACAAAAAAAAAACAGTATCCCGACGAATTCAAAACCATCCTCCTTTTTGTGGAGTCGGTTAAAAATTTAATCGCTTTTTCATCAAAATAAAAGTAACACCTTAGCTGCAATTTTTGTTTGAGAAAATAAAAGGCAAGTATTAACAGTTATTTACGCTCGGAAAATAAAATTCAAATATTAACTGTAATTTTTTAACGAAACAATAAAAGACTGAACTTGTATCTTTGATCGAAAAATTTTAAGTCAAATTTCAACTCTTAATTTTTTATTACAACTCAAAAGTCAACTTTTAACTCTTAATTTTTGATCGAAAACATATCGATGAAAAAATAACTATTATTTATCGACTTTTCTGAAACAAAAACATAACAGTTGTGGCCCCAGCGGAAAAAGGCTAAGTCCAATATATAAGTTTTTTCGCTAGTAATCCCTGGATTTGCATACATATATGTATATGTACATATGTATATGTGTCAGTGGGTCGAAGGAAAATGAATTTTTTTTATCTTTTCCATAGGGTTCATTATGGTTTTATATTTTTTGTGTATTTTTTACTTAAATTGTATCCAAAATTTATTTAGTTTCGTTTCTTTTAAGTTACTACTAACAATTAACAACCCCTTCCTTTATCCCGTTTAAGTAATGGTATTTTATTCGTTTTCTACCAAACCTATCCCTTTACTTTCACTGCGAATTTAATTCCCAGCTTTTGCAAAAAGCTTTTAGTACCACCCTGGAACTTAGAACTATTCGATCATTTTCACCAAATTTATTTATCGTACTACAAATATTTTATTATCAAAGCAAAATAGCTTCTTTTGTAATCGATGTGTTATCACTACTATATACTTACATACAGATAAATAACTGTTTAGTTTGTGTAATCAAAATTAATGTTGCACTTTCAATTCTTGTTACATTTCTATTGAAACACAAAAATTTGCAAAACTTTATGAGCAACTTAGTTGTGTTAGTTTTATACTTCATTTAATTCATTTCTCCATCTAATAAGCGTGTATGTATTTTTTTGGTTTTTTTTTTATTAGTCTGCCTGCATGTTTTCGATGTTTTTCTTAATGCTGCTAATCTTTAGAGTCACTAAATAAATTTGTTTTTATTCCATTTTTTTACAATACAATATACTCCTCATATATAGACAAGTTTTTTTCTAAATGTTTTATTCAATTTAAATTTAAAACCAACTCAACAAAGACAACAGTAACTAAATGCATAAATTCAATGTTTAGTAATTTTAGTGATACATTTCTTTTTACTTACCTTAAATGTTGCAAATGCCTCTACGTATAGTGAATTTTAAGCACCCCGTATACTATTTGATGCTCTAACACCGGTAAGTAATTCATTTAGCGGAACCGCCTTTCCATACATCAGCGTACGCTTCACTGTGAATATNTTATTGAATCACAAAACTTTGCAAAACTTTATGAGCAACTTAGTTTTGTTAGTTTTATATTTCATTTAATTCATTTCTCCATCTAATAAGCGTGTATGCATTTTTTTGGTTTTTTTTTTATTAGTCTGCCTGCATGTTTTCGATGTTTTTTATTAATGCTGCTAATCTTTAGAGTCACTAAATAAATTTGTTTTTATTCCATTTTTTTACAATACAATATACTCCTCATATATAGACAAGTTTTTTTCTAAATGTTTTATTCAATTTAAATTTAAAACCAACTCAACAAAGACAACAGTAACTAAATGCATAAATTCAATGTTTAGTAATTTTAGTGATACATTTCTTTTTACTTACCTTAAATGTTGCAAATGCCTCTACGTATAGTGAATTTTAAGCACCCCGTATACTATTTGATGCTCTAACACCGGTAAGTAATTCATTTAGCGGAACCGCCTTTCCATACATCAGCGTACGCTTCACTGTGAATATCAGAAAAGAAAAAAAATAATACTGAAGCAAGTGAGGGCTAATAAAAAAACAAAACAAAGTACCAAAAAGACGCATAATAAGCAAAATGGAATAAAAACAAACATCTCACCTAAAATTAAAGAAATTAAATAGACTAACAATCGCTAATCAGAAATTGAAACAATTACAAAATTTTTAGCACACCACACCCATTATATACTTGTAAAACCTCCTAAGTGTTTCCTACCCATATAAGTTGTTTTTAGGATCACAACCCTAACAATTTTATTAGCAAAGATCCTTTAAGAAAAGCGTTCCTGAGCAAACACAGCGAGGTCTGCCTACAATCGATTGCAATAAAAGTTTTCCTTACACAGTACGTATTTGGATAGACACATTTTGACGAACACGAAACCATGTATCCCTAAACATACCATAAGAACCTGTACAAACCGAAAAGTAACTTCAAATTGACGCTTCACTATTAATAATATAATGTTGACTGCACACGACGCAACAGTCGCAGCAACATGGCAAGACTATATAGTATACCACTTACTATGACAAGAAAGTGATACAATTTAATTACACTCCCACAACCTAGTGCGCTCATAACTTGTAGCTTAATAAATACTTAGTTTGTTTTAGTTTTGATTATTTACTATGTTTTTGTTCGAAATTTTAAGTAGTTAATTTTTGGCACTTTTTTTTGAAAACAAATTATCGTTCTTGAGAAATGTGGTATCTATGCAAAAGTTTATAGCAAATCCTATCTGTAATAGATATTTCTATATACGTCTCTGATTTCAAGTGAACAACTAATTAAGGAATCAGTTCCGTGTTGTCCGTAGCGGAGTTTATAGAGATGGATAGAAAGCTTTAAAAAGCCTTACACGCGATCTACATTTTTTGCGTCACTAAACAGATTGGTAAGACACATTTGGACAGTTGAATTGCAACGTAGTACTTTAAGTTTATTAATTCCTTTGATCTCTTTGCGTCGGTAACTTTAAAAGAGACGACAAAATGGAATGATGTCGGAACCATCTCAATCAGGCAGATCGACAATGAAAAGGATTGACTATACGATAGGTAATCGTTGAACATTTTTTAAGACTACAAGGAATTTAAGCATCGGCAGAAAACGACTTTTTCCGGCGGTGAACCAAATTTTTGAAGACAATTGTGATCGCCAAATGTTTCTTGAAATATCCGCACGTTAATTTCTGGGATTAACTCAAAACAAGCCTCCAAAATTGCTTCAAAAACTATACAAAGAAAATAGGATATAAAGAAAATACCGTTTTTGGATTTCAAGATTGAAAAGCCATTAGAAAATTACCATTTTCACTATATCGAAACATAAATCTCCTTTTTGCAGTTCCCCTGGCCGTCTTCGAAATTTCTACATTAGAGAAACGGATTCGAATTTTACTAATTTTTTAATCATTCTCTAGACGAACCAAAATTCAAAATTAAAGAGAACTATGTTCTCACCTCCAAAACGCTACTCAAATATGTTGCTGTATGACCAGTGGTCACCAATGTATTGACTACTCACATACATTCGTAGGTAGTTGAACCAATTTAAAAGCTTTGCACCGCTCGAAATAACTCCGCTCGGCTAGGCACCGCTTACTTTGTACACGCACATAAACTTAGTTGCTTAGAAATTGAGTACAGAGTGAATGAAGTCCATTTGCTTTTGGTATTGTTACGAAATCCACTTGTACTGAAAGCGTGAGGAAAATTCCAGTGAAAAGGTAGATATCGGAGCCGGGAAATAAGCTTGCTGCACACCAAAAGAAAAAAATAGAAATCAATTATTTAGAAAAGATACTAAAAAAATCCCCTTCACCTTATAATGTAACCAAAAATATTTGTCTACCAAATGCAAAATACACTAAATCTACTAAAAGTTATAAAAAAAACTTTTCCTTAGATGTTGCTCGGACCAGGGATCGAACCCAGGCCCTACGGAGTGGTAGTATTTCTAACCACTCAGTTCAATCAAGAAAACTACCTGTACTTATTTACAGAAAGTGCTGTGTTCCCTTATGACCGCACCGAATCACACGCAAAAATTAAGAGCGCTTGGTTGGGAAGCTTTCTTCATGCATCTACAATCGAACTTAGACCTTGTGCCATTTTTTCAAATCTGTTCCGGTCTCTTAGGGTCGAAACACAGTGGAGCGGTGAGCAAATCGAAGAGCAAAGCTTCAATAACAAACGTGTATGTATGCTTTGCTCTTCACTATGCGCTCTCCCATTGAAACATATGCGTTGAAAATCGACGCTTTGCTCGATGCTCTTTGCTTGCCGCTCCACTATGTTTTTACCCTTAGAGATGCTGAATTTACTTCAGCAAAGTTTTACGGAAGGAGACATTATGATTTTGTCTTAAAAATGGAACAAGCTTTATCTTAACAGCAATTTTCAATTTCAATGATGGTCGCAAAAATTCAAATGGTCTTTTAGTATCAATCATTTGTTTGAAAACTTGACTATTTTTGCATAAGTAAATATTCATTTAAAATATGTTAGCCTTATTCGTCTGAGACTTTTCGTTTTTTGAAAGGAATGAGGTCGAAGAAATATTAAACCAAATGGAAAACGAATCTACCAAACTACCAAAATTAAAATTTAGAAAAATATTCCACCAAATTTGAACGCATTCTACTAAAATGGCAACACTGAATGTGCTTGTAATCGAGTTGCATAAGCTTCATTTGTCGAGCATTATTAGTAGATCCACCATTGCATTTAAGCTAGTTTTAATTTAAGAATATACAAAAAAAAAATGGATACGTTTAAAATAGATTTTGCACAAAGGAGGGTTTTTGCTATAAACTTTTGCTGTGCGCATAACTGCATTTAAGTAATTAAATTTTCTTTCTAAATTCTTTAAGTCTTTTTTATTTAAGCTAATTTGTTATTTTTGTACTTTTCAAAATTTGTAAAAAAAAATTGTTTAATTATAATTTTTTAGAAGAAAAAATTAAAAAAAAAGCACAAAAAGAATACCACAGCAAAATTTTTCCCAATTTATAGATTATGATTACGACCTTTATGGTTATTCGGATTATCGTGGCGGCTACAATGAATCCTATTACGACGATTTTTATCGCACCTATGATGGAGAGTACTTCTTTGATTATCCACCGAGCGGTGTAGCACCATTTCCAACTGGTGGACCCGCTGGTGGACTGCAGAGAACGGCCAGAAACAATGTGGTGGGTCTAACATTCTTCTAATACTACTTACTACTACTATAACTACCTACTATAACTACTAGTACATACTACCACAACTGTTAATAAATACGATTCTCACTAGTACATAGTTGTCTACAACTCCTGCCACACCTGCCATTAAAACAACAGTTGTATACTTTGCAATTTCGTAAACATAATTTTTTTTTTTTTTTGGTAAAAAAAAACACCACAGCAGCAGTTAACAATTTTTGCATTCGCATAAAACTATTGGCGAGACAATAAATGAATTGCTATTACATATTTATTCATACAGTTGGTGGTAAATTGTATACATTCTTGTAATTTTCAAAATTTTCGTAGAACTACGCGCTAGTAGTGTTGAAGCATATTTTCTTTATAATTGATTTTATTTATCTTTTCATGCTTTTAATTTTATTGTGATTTTTCTTTGATTTGTTTTTTTGGCTTATACAAAATTTTATGCAAAACAAAAACAAAAGTACTACACACATACGGATAGAGACAAAGTTACACGTGATCAAAATTTGAACATTATCAACTACGACTTAATCAGCAACGACAGCGTGAAGACATCATCAAAAACAAAAACTTCAAAACTGCCATTACCCGGCATCAAAATTTCGGCCTCACTCACATGCTTTCAGGGATACTTTTTTGAAACCACGTCTAGCAATTACATTACACACATACATAAATATAATGCATCTAGTGCTTTTTTGGTTTTTTGACTTTTATTTAACAAGAAAATCTGTTTTGTTAGCTTGAAATTTGAAATTTCGTCCGTCCTGTGAGCGTTAACCCTAAAGTGCACCCATCCACAACTAGTAAATTAAGAGTGTAAACAAACAAACCGCCCTAGATACAATTTCATCCAGCATCTAGCATACACTTTCTTGTGTTTCTAATAAGCCTTAGATACTAAGATTATTATTATTATTTTTTGTTTTTTTTTTTTTTTGTATACAAAACACATTTACATGAAGAATTTTAACACTTTTTCATTTAACCATGCTTATTATTTATGGCGTTTCATTTTATATTTTTTAATCTAAGTGCTTTTTGTTGAATTGGAATTGGAAAGCTTTTTTGTTCATTTGATGCTTATTTGCTTTGTTAATTTATTTAATAGTTAGAGAAATATTTTTAAGCTAGGCATTTTGATGCTAAGTGGCAATGCAAACTATTGGCTGTGGTTCTGTACAAAAGAAAATAAAATGGAAAAGAGAACCAAACGGGAAATGAAAAATCAATGCGGTTAAATCTTTTTTATTTTATATTTATTTTATAAATATTACTACTCAGCTGGAGTATGCAAGCAACAAGGCATACAAATGGTTTGGTTTAATTTTATAAAGCTTTTTTGTATAGTATGTAAAAAAAAATGTTTGAGCTGAATGAAGTGTGCTAACAATTGGTATTTTCTTATTTTTAAATCTACATTTTTGAAATCTAGGGAGCTAGGGAGCTACATACATATCGCTGCCTTGCTGGAAGAATGCCATAATAAAAAAACAAGTGTTTTTTAATATGCAGAAAATAGCGTTGTTATTTATTTTATGCTGTGTAAAAAAAAAAATATAACATTTGACAAATATGTATTTATGTACATATACATATACAAAACTTACGCAAGCTTGTTTACCTTCAAACAAATGGCATGAGGAAACAAACTTAATGACTTTTATTTTTAACCCAATGACAGGCATTGGTTTCTTTAATGCCCAAATTTCTCATTAAAAGTTTTTGTTATTTAATATACGGTAACGGGTTCAGTTCTTTTCACATTAGGGCGATTCGATATGACCACAGATTTTATTTTATAAATAAACCACGAGACAATTTATATATTTTTTAGTATATGGCATTTATGTATGAAACACAATATCCGTTAAATGCGCGCCACGATTTCTCTGGCAATACAGGATGCGCATATCAAAATTTTCACGACTTTTACTAATAGTATAATGCGTATGATTTCGTTCTTCAGCTCTGGAATCGTCTCAGGATTATTGGCATAAGTCATAATTCTCACGTAGCCCCAGATAAAGAAGTGCAATTATGTGTATCAAAAAAAGATAATGCGTCCTGGGAACTTCGTAGGCAATAAGGCCTTTGTTTCTTGCGATGTGTGGCAAGCACTATCCTATCCATCTATCAATTTCTCAAAATTTTTCTAAGTAAAATCTACCACTATAAATTTTTTCGAAGTTCGCGCTCTGATTGCTGGTAAAGCCGGCACTAAGATTTTTGTATATCCAACTCGTACAGTGAATATGTGTAATTTACACCAATAGCTCCTTCGGTTTCGAGTGTAAGTAGGATAAAAAAAAAATAAATACTTACATACTTAATTTTTAATTAATTTTAGTTTGCTTTTTGTTGAAACTTATTTATATTTTTCATTTATAAGTGCTCACCGCTGCCCACTAACCTAAGCCAACTAACCTTAAGCTAATTGATTTCATTTTAACTACTTATATCAATGCATAAATGTACAATATTGGCATAAGTTCATAAAACAAGTTATTGTAATATGGCCTCGTAAAAATCGCTTAAATATACAACACTAAATTATTTTCTTTCTTTCGAACTTTTACAAAGAAAAACTACTCAAAATTGATGTTAGTATAAAATTGCAAGTCAAAAAAATAAAAATAAAAACATGTGTCAATCGCAAATTTCGTTAAAATTCTTGCAAAAAAATTAAACACAAAATTCCATTCGAAAATAATCAAAACAAAATGACAATATTTGTGAGATATGTACCTGCAATTCACTTCAAGGCGCCGAAAGCAATGCAAGTCAATTGCAGGCAAGCAAAAAAGGGAAATTAAGCTTTAAGTAGGTTTTATTCATAGTCCATATTATGGTATAAAAGCATTTATCTCAAATTTAAAGTATTCGAATTTAGGCTTATAAAACATAGGTATGTA